TCTTGGATTTTCCGTTTGAACATATAAAGTTGATTCCAGAAGTTTTTATTCACCAAATAAAACTACACACACATTGTTTCTCTAAATCACTAAAAAAATGTTCTGATCAAGTTTTCTGGCATTTGGCAAGTAGAAATAATTTAGGTAATTACAACTAATCTAAAAAGACAGAGAAGAAGTTTGGTCTGATTTAAGTTCGTATTAATAGTTTGTTTAGTTTTTTATGCATAATATAATATATACCAGTGTGACACAAAGTGCTTTATAGACATTTAATCTCTAAACTCTGACAATAAATGATCAAAAATAATCAAAGAAGACATAAAATTATAATTGTTGGTAAGTAAATAAATAATACTAGTAACTAAAATCTATTGTGTAATTAAAACTAGATCAACTGACAAGATTAAACTTGGATATTGTCCAGTATTGAAAAGTTATAAAGATAATTATAAATTATAATTATAAATATAATTTTAAATAATTAAATTCACAAATTTACAGCAGCAAGATGAAGTTATTCTCTGAGATTGTAAAGTCAGAAATTTGTAAGAAAAATNGAGCCGGACCTTCAGTAGCAAAATCATCTTCATGCATGACAAAGAAAGCTGCAAGGAATACCTCTGTGTCATTGGCTGCTATGGGCATAAAACTCATGGTGCGGACACCATCCTCCTCTGACCTCTGACCTACTGAGAACCTCTGGAGTTTCCTCCAGCAGAAGATCTGAGGGTTCAGACCAAGATGCAGTTCAGGTCAATCAGCGGCTCTGGAAGGTTTTCTGACATCCTGCAGAGAAATTAAAGCAGAAACGATCCACAAACTCACAAGTTCAGTGGAAGCAGGAATCGATCAGCTGATATAAAGAAGGTCCTACGTTAACATGCAGCTGTCTGTCAGGATGTTTTACATTGAAATGGCTTTGATTTCACTACCTGTGACCACGTAATGCTGAACATTCAAAGAATGACCGTTTGCACTTTATAATCCATAAAATGGTTAGAAAATCTGCTGTGCATAATAATTGGGAACAGTTTGAGTTTTTTATTTGTGAAAGAAATACTGTTCTCATTGGAGGTTTGTTCAGTAAAATTAGATTTATACTTTAATAGTTCATGACTTGAACATTATACTGACCATCATTTGCATCGACTATTAAGGAAAATCTGAGAAAATAATTTGGAACATGGTGTAATGCTAAACATGTCTGGTATTTGTATTTATGGTGGTTCTGAGCCCTGCAGGCCACCGTAGAGACTGATGTGTTCATGCTTGAAGCTGATGTGAAACTTCAGGAATCGGAGAAATGAAATCAGACTTTATTTATTCAGATCGATAATTATCATTTCATAACAGCTGGAACTACTTAAATATTCTTTCTACGTTAAGCTGCTGTTTGTCGTGATCCGACTGGATGTAGACCTGTGGTAAACCGGTTCCGGTACCAGAGTTGAGAGTTCACTCTGCTTCTGGAACCGGTTCCGGTTCGGGGACCAGACTTCGCTCTACTCCACCAGCGAAGCGGCGAAGAAGTTTTGCTCGTTCTGCATCTGCTGCCTGAAGATCTGGTTGGCCCGTTTGATCTGGTTGGGCGTCTTCAGGTTGTTGTTGAGCAGAACCTTGTAGTGCTTCTCCGGGTTGCCGTGCATGTTGCCCTTCTTCCAGACGAAGTAGGCGTTGCAGTAGCTTTCCTCCAGGCTGTTGGCGATCCAGATCCAGAGCCTGGAGCAGGGCAGCAGACTCACGGCAAAGAAGATGGGTTTCTCCTTGTCCATGATGGTTCTGTAGTCCAGCAGGTACCGCTCCAAGGCCGGGATGGGTCTGATGTCCAGCGGCGCCTGGCAGAGCAGCAAGCAGAAGTTCAGGACCAAAACCTCTCGGTGTTTCACCAACCTGAGGAAAACCTCCTTACTTTGAGCTTGAACCGGTCCAGAATGTAGTTGGAGAAGCTCTGGTAGCTCTGGTAGCGATCCTGCATGAACGTCTTCAGGTCGTTGGGCAGCGGCCTGCGGCTCATGTTCCCCAGCAGGTCCGTCACCGTCAGCAGGTACAGGACGTCCTGCATCATGAAGGCCACGTAGTCGTCGGCCTGCAGGTCGCCGCGCTGCATGTGCTGCAGGAAGGGAACCGTCAGCGTCTGCTGGGCCACGTCCGTGTTATTCTGCCACAGCTCTTCATAAATGTCCCGGACTCCTGCAGTCGGGTCAGAAACTCATTTTACACTCTGCCAGTTATGGAGAAAACATTAAAGTTTCATAAGTTTTACTTGGAGAAAAAGTTTTGAGTCATTAATTTGGAAACTCCAATGTTTGAATCGGAACTTCCTGCTGATTAAAACTAAAGTTTCTGTGAAGAAAACATGAAAAATCCTCTTTGGTTTATTGATTTAAATCTGCTGGCCTACTTCCTGCATGTCGACTGTTACTGAACCTGGTCACCTGGATCCCTCACCTGGATCCGCCTCACCTGGATCCCTCACCTGGATCTGCCTCACCTGGATCCGCCTCACTTTCACCTCAAACTGATCTTTAGATTTTCTTCAAATTTTTGTCCCACAAAAAACCTAAAAATATCTGAAAAGAAACTTTCAGTCAAATAAATGAAACCAGAAGCTTTGGAGCTGAAATCGTTTCTTCTAAATTCAAATCTGTTTCCAGAACCAGAACCTGGATCAGAACCTGGTTTCACCGCAGAACCCATCCATAAATCATAATTTTATAACTTTCTTCCAAATGGGGAAAAAAAGTCAGATTATTTCAGATCCTCTGAAGAATAAAAATGTTTTTTCTTCAGAACCTGGAACATTTGGACAGAATCTGACATTTTAACCAGAAGTAATTATTATTATTTTTGCGGGTTTGGGTCGGAACCTTTCAGTGCAGCAGAAACCTTCGGTTCTGTTGGGAAACTGGAGCAGACGGGCAAAACCAGCAGGACCGCTTTGAACCAGAACATCCTTCCTGGAAACGACACAAACGGTAACCATGGTAACGACACTGAAAGAAGGAAACGGCCGGGTTCTGGTGGAGTCCAGTTCACCTCAGAATAAATAAAGTTCTGTTACTGATGTGGAATATTTCAAAGTTACCTGAACGCATCTTCCAGCGCGGTGCCTTCAGCTGCTGCGGGACGTTTCAGTGTTGCTGCAGAGCGGACGTCTTCCTTTTAAAGGGCCGGCGTCGGGGCAGAGCCAGCAACATTTCTGTCAACAAAGGTTGCTCCAGGAGACCAAACATTGGCCAACTTCCTGTCCAGCAGCTTTCCTGACATTAGTAACAGGATATGACATCACTTCTCCCATCAGACAAAGACGCAATTTAGAAAGTAGTCATGCTGCGGGCTCACCGCTTTATTGAAATATTTTTGTTTCATTTTGAATCATTTCTTCAGATCCACTGAGAGCCGACCCGCTTCAGGGCCGAGGTTCTGGTGAAACGGACCGGGTCGGAGGAACCAAGCGGACCTGCAGAACTCGGCTCGGTTTGCTGTCACTGTAAAGGCCAGAAGCAGAACCTCAGATGGCCTCAGCAGAGGTCAAAGGTCAGACGCTCTGAGGAATTTTCCTGTGAAAACACAAGCGATGACAAAACAGGAAGTTCAGAAAAAAAATATCAGAATGAATCAGAAACCATCAGGTAAAACCGGGCCTTGACCAGAACCTGGACCAGAACCGGTTCTGAATAATAATATTTGTGCGGGAGACTCTTTAACCTCTGGGGTTTTATTTGACCTTTACTGATAACATTTTTTCATTGAACCACTCCATCTGACCTTTGACCTGGCAGGAAGCAGCTTCATGTCGTAACGTTCTGTTGAGTTTAACAGAATAAAAAAACCAACCTTCATGCTGGTCCAGGAGGAGTGATGCTGCGGGCTTCTTCAGACACAAACATTTTTAATTAACTTAGAAAATTAAACTTAAAGCTCTGAGTGAAAACTGGAGGAACTGGAGGAACTGGGACGTCTGACTGGGTGGATAAGCTGGACTGGTCATCTGCTGATGCAGATATTTATCAGAACTCCAGGAGGATCCCAGATTTTACACAAATAAAATGGTTTCAACACAATAACTGTAAACATGCATGAAATGTGTAGAAATTCTTCACTAAACATCCCAGGTTCATAATTTTCCACTTTTACAGCAAAATAAACTTTTACTCATTTTTCTTCATTTAGCCCGTCAGAGAAAAGAAAATATTTTTAACATTCATATTTTTGCTGTTATTCGTTTCTAAATGTTCCAAACTAAACATTTAGTTCTCAGCTAAATGTTTAAAGTCTGATATTTAGTTTGAAACTGACATTTATAAACACGCTGAAATTGTGACTAAAAAATGAAGTTTTTTTTCTACCACAGGCTGAATAAACCCAAATATTGCTTAGAATTTTTTTTACAGTGTAACTTTAGAAACGGGCCGTAATACTGAACAGAACCCAGCAGTACCGTTCAGTTAGGAACCCGTCCAAACTTCTGTTTATGGGTCTGATGTAAATCTGTGATGTTCAAAGCAAGATGTTGGGTTTTTATTAATTTCATAATAGTGGAAGCTTTGGGTGGAGTTTGACTCAGAAAGAGAAAGAAACGCAGAAACAGGAAGTGGTGACGATGAGAGTCAGGATGTGATTTCAACATTCAGTCAGAATGTTTGAATTTGAATAAAAGTTATGATTCTGAAACAGTTAAAACTGAAAACCAGAACCAGCAGAAACCTCAGGAACTGGTCCCACTTTGTCCCAGTTCTGGTTCTGAACGGGTCCAGTCAAAGTCTGAGGTGGAGCCCTGCAGTCGGTGGGTTGCCAGTTTGATTCCCATCATCAGTGTGTGTGAATCACTTAAAACTCATTTTTACTCTTTGGCATTTAATTGACGTTCTGTTGTGTTGTTTTTGTGCAGCACCTTGGTGAAGTTTCATACCTGTTGTAAAGTTTATATGAATAAATCTGACACTGTGAACAGACGTAGAATCCTCCGAGGGTTGAAACACCACTGAGGTCATTTCCTAAAAATATTTACATCATTTTAATTCAGTTTTTAATAATCAGATTATTGAACATCTGCGGCTCAGAAATAATTAAAAAAACATTTAGTGACTTTAAAGGTTGTTTCTAAACAAAAAGAAAATAATTTCATTTCTGATTTAAAATATAATTTCCTCCAATTTATCCCATCTGATGGTTCATGGTGTGAAAATCTAAATGTACTTCAGAGCAGAAATCCTCAAGCTGTTACTAAATACACATCATAAAGTTATTAAAATGTTTCTGCTGAACTGAAGCTGATTTTCTCATATCTGAAAATATCTACATAATTTAGATTTATTATTTAACATTTAAGTTGAAAAACAATCTGCAGATGTAATTCATGCATTCAGATGGAAAACGGACAAAGTCAAGATAAACCTGGATGGGATCTAAAGGTCAGAAGGTCACCAGACGTTTCTGGACCTTAAGTCCTCATGGAGAAGTTCTGCAGTTCTGAGGATAGCCGGACCCAGACACCCGGTTCTGACCCGAAAACAATGGAAACCATGGAAATGCCTCAAAGGAACCAGAAGGAATAAAACAATCTGAAAACTGGGCGCGTCAGCAGAGCTCCTGGTTCTGGTTCTGTTCTGGTTTCCTACAGCGGGTCTGGAGCGTGCAGCCGGAGATGACTGTTCAGAGCAGAGCGGTTCTTAAAACGTTTCTCACACATGCTGCATGGGAACGGGCTCTCCCCCGTATGGGTCCTCCTGTGGATCACCAGATGGACGTTCTGGTTGAAACTTTTACCACAGAACTCACATGTGAACAGTTTCTCATCCATATGGGTTCTCATGTGAACTGAAAGGTTGTCGCTCCTCCTGAAGCCTTTGTGACAAATGGGACAGAAGTAAGGTTTCTCCTCTGAGTGACACCGGCTGTGGAGGATCAGACTGCGCTTGGTGGTGAAGCTCTTCCGGCAGGTTTCACAGGAGTACGGTTTCTCACTGGAGTGGATGCTGGTGTGCTTTGACAGGTCGCTGCTGCAGCGGAAACATTTCCCACAGACGGAGCAGGAGTATGGCTTCTCCCCAGTGTGGACCCTCATGTGGGTCAGCAGAGCAAACTTTCTGATGAAACTCTTCCCACAGGTTTTGCAGGAGAACGGTTTCTCTCCGGTGTGGATTTTGCGATGCCTCCTCATGGCGTACTGAAACCTGAACTCTTTCTCACAGAAGTCACATTTGACAGGTGTTCTACTTGTGCTTGGTTCAGACAGACGGTTTACTTCCAGCTCCTCAGACCTGCTCGTCCCTGACTCCAGAGTCTCGGCTTTGGGAGATCTCTGAGGGAGGAGTGGGTCGTTGCTTGGTTCGGGTTCATCATACTCGACTGTCACCATCAGTGTTTCCGTCTCCTGCTTCAGAACGAGCTGCTCAGCTTCCTGACTGACACACAGTTCGTCATGTTCGTCTTTGACCTCTGGAAGCTGCAGTGGTTTCTTCTTCCTTTTAATCTCGGGGAGTTGTAGTTGTTGGGGAGGTCCGACTTCCTCCTGGTGAAGGAGCCGCTGGTCTTTACGGACGTCCTCCTCACAGAGACGACCAGGTGGAGAACCTGGATGAACCAAACGGGAAGAAAATCAGCAAACAGAAAATATTTCAGTTAAAACATTAAACAGGATGAATTTATTGTAACGTGCTAAATTTCTAACAACATAGCTTAATATTAGCTTAGTGCTTTAGCACTTTGGCTGACTTTGCAAATGTTTAGTGCAGTTAGCTTCCCGTAAATTTATTTTTATGGATAAATTCTAAAATGCTAACTTACTTGGTTTGTAAACTTTCAGTTATGACAGTTTTATTCACAACCCGTCAAAGTTTTACCAACTTTCAGATGAATAAAGTTCAACGTTGTGTTGAAGTTTTGGTTATCGACTGAAAAATTCTTCAAGTAGTTAGACGTTTGTATTCATGCTCTTATTTTGAAGTCTTTACCAGCTTCTCTTGATCAGAACCGGTTCTGACTTCAGTAACTCAACTTTCTGGTCCTCTGCTTCCTCTCCCAGACTTCATTTGATTTTCTCTCATTTAATGATTTTAGATGTGGAACATAAACACATCTGACTGTGACTTATTAAATAATGATGACATCATCACACGGCGTCAATAAATGTTTTCAATTCATCAGAGGATAAAAAAGAAGCAATTTTACACAACTCATCAAAATTATTTTGAAGACAGAGATAAAGTGAACTTCCAATGAACCTGCGCCGTTTCCATGGAGACGAGCTGACTGGGTTCAGATTTACCGACAATTTTCATTCGACTCAAGATTTTCATGAGTTGATTCACCGTTCAGGCAGAATTATAACTTTCTGTGATCAATTCTGTTTAGACACAAACGTAACATACGCTTTCAAGGGATTAATAAAGATCAGTTTGATTTTATTTCCAACTCATATCCAATATTTAGACTTTATAGATTTAAAAGCTTTCAATAATATGTTTCATTTATCTCTCTAAATTTGATTGGATTGAAAAAAACTAAGATCCACCAATCCTGTCACCTGCAGTTCAGAACGACTGGGAGAGAGGACACACACACACACACACACACACAGAGACACACACACACACACACACAGAGAGACACACACACAGACACACTCACACACACACACAGAGAGACACACACACAGACACACAGACAGACAGACAGACAGACAGACAGACAGACAGACAGACACACACACACACACACAGACACACACACACACACACAGACACACACACACACACAGACACACAGACACACACAGACACACACACACACACACAGACACACACACACACACACACAGACACACACACACACACACAGACACACACACACACACACAGACACAGACACACACACACACAGACACACAGACACACACACACACACACAGACACACACACTAACCTGACATTCATATTTTTGGAGGATAAGATAAAATAAGATTTATTTTAGCTAATTTATAAGATACATTTATCAGACTTTTATCTTAGAAACGGTCAAAAGTGCCAAGCAATAAAAGTTCAGAGGTCAGATCTGCAGTTCATCCCATCACGGTATCCAGTAACATCCTCTACATGCTGCTCCTGGTACCGTCTGGACCTCCTGGTACCGTCTGGACCTCCTGGTACCGTCTGGACCTCCTGGTACCGTCCAGGCCCCGTTCAGGCTGATGGACAGGGTTGGGGGTGTGTGGTGAGGTAGAGCTGGGTGAGGGTCCAAACGAATGTTTCAGACGGTCTTATTGACACCAGAACCCTGAGCCTGAACCCATGAGGACGTGTTCTGACAGGATGTGACCCATCAGACAGGATGGCGGCTGATCAGAGGACAGATCTTACTCGCCGTCTTCACCAGACTTTCAACTTGTAGTTTAACAGTGAGATTTCCAGACTTCCAGTGATGCTGGAACAGACTCGACGGTTCCCCTGTAGAAGATCAGCATCATCATTTTAGAATCGAAGGCCTAAGAAAGACGCTGCTGAACCTTTGTCGTGTGTGTGCCAAGTGGGATGGCCGTCTATGGACACACCTAATTATTTACAAGATGTGTTTGATGGAGCAGCTGTGATGGCTGTAGGACTGGTTGATTTAGGATCCAGAAATAACTCAACAGTTATTGAGGAAGCTGGAGCCCCCAAGAGAACCACCATGCAAACTCCCCGGGCCGGGAATCGAACCCAGGACCTTCTTGCTGCAAGGCAACGGTGCTACCAACTGCTCCACTGTGCAGCCCCTAAATATTTATGTAGCTACAGCTAATTAGCAACGCCAGTCCGTGGTAGGGCATTCCTATTAAATAAATTACAATTTATAAATCAAAATTCAGTAAGAAGCAGAGGTCGCACTAGACTTTTTGTTCTCCATCATCTTGACCAACAACATAAAAAAAAAAAAAATCAGTCATGTACGATTTTTACCGGTCAAATTATAATCATATTAACATCGGCTACTTGGCCGCATTTTTATGCGGTTTAGTTAATATTCACTAGCTGAACCTGAATCCAGATCCCTTCACACATAAAGCAGTTAATGCATCTACATTTTTCTTCATAATGACGAAAGCCGCCGACTGTGGGGGCCAGGGGCCCATTGGCCCCCCCACTCTACGGCCCTGCCCTCTGCTGTGACTGACATCTCTGTGTTTATCTGCAGACAGAGGCACTGAGATCAGAACGGCCACCCAAAGGTTTACCACATGTGCAGATCCGGGTCGGCTGGGATCAGGAACCGGTCTGACTCAGATCCGGTCCAGGTCTGAACCGGTCCAGGTCTGAACCGGTCTGACTCTGATCCGGTCCAGGTCTGAACCGGTCTGACTCTGATCCGGTCCAGGTCTGAACCGGTCTGACTCTGATCCGGTCCAGGTCTGAACCAATTCTGCCGAAAGATGAAATGAGCTTTCTGTACTTGTCACCATTTATAGAACCGTGACGATGTTTTCTTTCTAATGGCGTTGGGATGAAAAAAAGGCATCGGCCGCTCTCCTGGGTACCGTGGACCGGAGGAAGAGTTCAGTTTAATTCATCTGCATTGGTTCTGCAGCGGACTGCGCATGTTACGGTCTAATTAACTTCTGCACCTTTATTTCCTCAAGACAAGCTGCCGGCTCGTCTTTAGACTATAAATGGATTTACACAACATTGCATTCTCTTTAGTTTTCTCTGGTCTGCACTGCAGACTGGAATTAAAGGCATCATTTTAACCAAAGGTCAAAGGTTTTGAATGCTCCTTCCTAACCAGACGCTCCAAAGCCTCCGGTCTCTGACTCCTCAACAGGAGGAGTCAGAGACCTCCTGTCTCCTCCTGTCTGGAGTCCTCCTATCCTGTCTCCTCCTGGAGAGGAAGAGACAGGAGACAGGCGTGCTCTGCCTGATGCAAATGGCGTTCAAACGTCCCCGCCTTCCTTCCGGTGGCCAGAACTCCTCGCTGGGACACAAATGGAGCGAACCCCGTGAGCACGCTAACAGCTAGCATGCTAACACTTAGTGGTAATCTGCATTCTAGGAAATTTAACTGTAAAGCAACATACGACACGATGACGTGGCTGTACGTCACTCATTTAACGCGAAAAATCCACCAGAGCCACAAATTAAACCTTTAATCCCTGAAACTTTCCGGGGTTTGTTTCTGCATGGCAGCCACGTTAGATAAAACAGGTACGAAACCGAAGTAGGTTTTGGACGGAACAGTGGTACGAAATTGCGCATCAAGGCGTAGCAGCCCTGGTTCCTCCGCGGGATTAACCAGACCCGACACCAGATCCTCCCCGTGATCCCGACTCGGTTCCTCAGACCCTG